AAGGATTATCTTCATTATTTTCCATAAGTGTTGAAGATGATTCGGTTATATTGTTCGTGATTGTGTTCATTTTTACTATTTCATTTGGTTTTGTACTTGAAGATAATGAATATTCAACACTACCACTTGTGGCTTCATCATCTTCTTCATAAGGATCAGATTCATTAGATATTAACGTTGAAGTTATCATTGTTGAATGTTTATTGGGTTGATTAACATTTTTTTTCTTATGGATTCGTGAGTATTTTTTTACAAGAGTATCTGAAGATTCGTTGGAAATAGTAATTTGAGATGATGATAATGGTGAATATGATTCGTTCGAAACATTTAATGATTGGGTTGTATTATTTTTTTCTTGTTGTCTTTTCTGTGCAATCAAATATTTCTTCATCGCAACGCAATTATCTCGATCGTGATCTACAGAAAAAAAAATTACAAACATAGATTGACGAAAGAAACCGAAGAAAAGTATAAACCCCCCCTCATAATTAAAGACCCCCCCATATTACAAGACCCTCCCATAATAGAAGACCCCTTTGGGAAAAAATTGTGTCCCGCGTAATAGAAGACCCCCCATTTATTTAAGATTTTTTTTTTGAAAACTGAGGATTTTCATTAGTTTTTTATCCTGAAACGTGTCCATTTCTGGAGGTTTTCAGCTGAAAACTTTCAAATCGATGAGTTCAACTCTGTATTTGAGCTTTGGAAATCGTGAAAATCCTTTCTCCAATTTTCACAGTCGCTTGGGTTCTCTTAGAAGATCTTTTTAATTACAAAAACTTATCAGTGTAGCCGCTGTGGAGCCAAAGTGTAGTACTCAGGAGACTCAGACTGCTACAAATTTATATTATATTCTCAAAAATGGTTGAAAAGTTTTTTTTCAAAAGATATCAAATAAATGGATAGACTACAATTCTATCGTTTGAGTTAAAACATACGCTGTAAAACTTTATCCCAACGAAACTATTCCATGTCGAATTCCTACCTCTTCCTTCACTCTATTTATCAGATTTCCTGAATATATTTATAATATTAATATAACCAACGCAGAATGTTAAATTTCTAAAGAAACGTTGGCCATAATGGTTAATTTGTAGCAGTTTCTATTCCTACATTTCAAACATTTTTTTTTCTAATACGTGCTTTTTTTCTTGTTGCGATTCGCTGTGTTATTTTTCTATTGATCGAGATTATCATTATTTTGTATTATTCGACCCAAGGTTTAATTTGATGATTAAGTAAGCTTAGTATAGACATTGGTTGTATCTTCGCCAGATCCTAACAATCTTGTATGCACTCTACTGTACTGAGTAAGACACTGAATAAATATTTCTAAAAGTTAGAAAGTAGTTTGATCACGCTTTTATGTAACTAATACTACCGTTATGAAAAATCACAAAAGATAATCTTTCAAATGGATCGTATAAACTTTTATCTACACAAAAAAAGGAGGCTAGTTTTTTGTGAATGCTTATAAAAATATTCGAACTATTGAAAAGAAAAAGATTCTAGAAGGTTCCACGATCTTTTAAATCTAAGTGATTGCTACGACATGTAATGGGGAAGAGAGAACAAGCTGAAGAACCTTGACTCAAACTTACGATCACTATTAATTCCTTCGAAAATATATGTAAGTTTTACAAAACGTATAGTATTTAGAACAGAAACTAGAAATTACAAAATTTTAAAATAATATAGCCGCTGGTATTAATTACTCCATATTGTTTGCTGCTGTTGGAAGATATACAGTGATATTTTTTCGAACATCTAGTTACTATGATAAGAATTGAGGAGTCGTAAAGCCTCAACTTAAACTTGCATTCACTAAATTCTTCGAAAATACTCGTGAGTTTCGCAAAAATCGCAAAAATACGAGAATCACAATACAAGACCCCCTAAAAAATTTTTCCGCTGAAACATAATAGAAGACCCTGGGTC